AAAATGATCCAGTAAAGGACAATTGCAACCTTCTACCAACTAGACAAAGCTATTTTGCTTTAGGGAAGAAAATTAAAATAAAAAGCGATACAAAAAGTACAAAATGAAAGAAAATCATCAGCCTATATGTGGTATAGCAATTTTTTCAATTACAGCACTATCCAATTTTATCAAGAATATTAACTATATTTCACAGGAATACCATTCTAATATTTCAGAATAATAAGATATTAATTTTAAAGACATTTTTTACTGACATCTTGAAGCATTTTAGGAAGTATATATAGCATAAGATGACATTCACCTTTAGTTCAGATATGTTACCTCACCTCTTCCTATGCATTCCTCCCATTTATTCCACTGCACTGAAAGACAGTAATATTCTCTCACTGCTGTTCACTCTTTGTCCTAAGTCCTTCTGCCATTACCTTGTGGGGAGCTGCAGTTCCTGGACTGAGGGAAGCACTGATCCTATGCAGAACTGCAGTGGCATGATTGGGCCACAGGACTTGAGAGTCAGGGATTCCTGACGACATGTATCAATACATACCCTTGAGTAAGTCACATCTTTTCTGGTCTCACGCTGTTTTAAAAATCAGGGAAATAGGGCTTTTGGTTGTTCCCTGGTATTTGTAAAAAGTTCAGCTAGCAACATTTGCTCACCAGGCAGATCAGTTGTCAGTTCATAACTCTCACCGAATGCTTTTTCCATGGTCTGCATAATTTATTGGAGGAAAAAAAAAAAAAATCTTGTTTTCTTATGCTTCAATTCCATAATGTACTTAGAGACACTGGTCTGAACAGCCATCAACAGGTTACTTGCAAGCTTGCTTAGAGGCCCTAATACATCCTTCCTTTTAATAGCTTTGGAAAGTAATCTAACAGCTCCAATAGCTTAAGCTTAGAGAGGGCCAGAAGGATATAAGAGAATTCCTCTGTGGGACATAGAGAAAAAGGGTAAGTCAGCCTCAAGAAATGAAAAAGGAACTATTTCTTTCAAGCAGTTGGATATAAGGTACTTGGCTCCACCACTGAGCTCTGTGTGCTGCTCTACTTTCTGCATAAAGTAACCCTAAACACAGCCAGAGTGGAAAGCAGGTTTCAGTGGTAACACTGGTGATTCCTCACAATCAGTCCTTCTCAATCTAATCGATTTCTTCTTTCACTGACAACTTCTTTTTAAGAATACCTCTTCCCAGACTTTATGATGGCCTCATCTCTAAGAAATTATATGTGTGCACAGGCTCAACATACCTGCTTATCTTCACACACATCTAGAGTGTGCAACTCACAGATCCAGCAGTTTTAAAATAAGTCAGTGTACTGTAGTATGAGATAGAAGGAAAAAAGAAAGGTAAACCATAGTCTATTTAACACATCTGAAAATGAGCTCAACCTCTGTTTAGTTCCAGCAGCTGCCTATAATGGAAAAAATGAAGACTGCTGTTGCCAGAAAAGTGGGCAGTAAGAAATAACAGATGTGAAGTTTCAGCAACATCATTGGCTAGGTCAGTGGTACAAACAGCTTCAGAGCTGGGGTCCCCATTGGGCTGCAGTGTTCTCAGAGGCAGGCTTGCTTTTTGAGCTGCTGAACTGTTCCCCTTGCTTAGTTTAATTTACTCAGCTACCTCACCCATGAATGTGATTGGTAAGAAATATTCACATCCTCACAAGCATGTGTGGGCTGTGCGTAAAAGCTCCTTGATTAAAGTTAGTCGCTACATTTTCCAAAATCATTTTAACATACCACTTCTCTCTTCCTCCATCCCAGACACCCCTCTATTTCATGGCCACTTAGGGCAAGTGGGGAAGAAAAGAGAGGTCCTTCAACAAAAGATCTTACTAAATGAGGCTCACAAAGTAAGATCAAAGAAGCAAGTCTAATCTGATGCATACATTTTGAGGAAGGGCAGTGGGTAAAAAATGCCCTTCAAAGAGTCAACTCCAATTACAGAAGTCATTTTCAAAGAAGAATGAAGTTTCTTGACAGAGTTTAAAGGGAAAATTACAAATACAAGGTCTGTATAATATATCACATCAAGAACAACTTCTGTCAGCTCAATTTTCAAGATTAAGTGGACTTCAATTTAAATTAAAATTAAATCAAATCAAAGTTATATTTAGGCATCAGAAATATGCCTTGAAATTGTAATGTGGATCACAAAGATGATCAGAAAAACCAATTATAAATCTGTATTAGAAAAAAACACTTCCAGTGAAGAATATTCAACAGCAGCAACTAACATCAGCAGAATTGAAGTTGGGCTGTCACATCCATTGCAAGTCATTCCTACGCTATGCTCAAAATCTGGCTGTAAAAATCCAGCTCTTAATAAGCCTAGGCTTTCATGCTATGTCTCATCTGGTGTATTTATTACCTGTTGCTGATAGAAACAGTACTACTCTCCCCATCTACTTCCAGTTGCTTATTCCCTCTTTGTTCCTTGTGTTACATCTAGCAATCTCATCCACAGGACAAGTCAGGCCAGCATAGTTATCTGATGTAGTTTTCCTCCCCAGGAAGTTAGGGTCTTTTTATGGAATCAGCTGCTTACCTTGAACTCACCTTGGGGCTGGGAGCTGATGTGAGAGAGGGGAAGAACAGGCTGAAGTGCTACTGCCCCTTTTGGCATCAGCCTGCAGCTGTGCAAGACCAGATGCAACATTAAACCATACTTTGAAAAGTCTTACTAGCTGCCTTCTCACAGTATGAATATTCAAGTGTCTTCAGGATTCCACATCACACAGTGGGTTCCTGAGAGTTAATGTCACAACACGAGAGCAACTCTGCAAGTAAAAATAGTAATGTTATAGCAACTGAAGGATTCCACAGTCATTAAAGTGCCTCAGTTCATTTCACTCTGCAATATCTGGACAAAAGGCCTTGCAATCTAAACAGAGAAAAAGAATAAAAAAGATCAATTAACCTTCCTAGTATCACTTTATCAGGTTAATAACAGAGGCAGAAATCAAATACAAGAGTCAGGACGGGCAATTCTACCTGCTATGCCACACTTCGTCCTGTGGCTATAATTGCTATTTATTCACTGCTTGCGGCATGGCATCTCCACGTCAGAACTGTGCTAGGTTCCAGAAATTACAAAATTATCCATTATATTTGTTGCTCCATAAGCAAATTATCAGCTCAGCGTGGTTTACAACATCTGAAAGTTCCCAGTGCCTTCCTAAGGAAAGAACTCCAAAGCTTATTATTTTCCTGACTCGGTACATCCTCTCCGCCCTCTGAGGCTAGACAAAAGGAAAGAAAGTGAACAAATGTACACTGCTATTTTTTTTTTCTATTAAATTGAGTCGGGGTGCAATTTTGGATTAGTGCTTTAAAACCACCTTAAAGTTCTCAAAAGAAAAAAGTAAATAAAGATCATTTATAGGAAAAAGAAAAAAAAAAGGCAAAGCACAGACACAGAAAAGAGATTGCTCATAGAGGAGAAACAGTACATATGTATAACTTCCTATTTACTCCAACTGTTAACAAAACCAAGTAAAAACAGCAACACTGGCTGTGGCTCTATTTTTTTGGCTTCCAGAAGTAAAAAAAACCTGCCTTGTCTCTGTGCTCTTATGTACAGAGTACAAAATTGTACTGATAAAAACCCCCATATATCCCAAACCAAATATAAAACCCCAAAACCAACTCTCTGTCCCCATCTGTATCCTGCTGTGAACTACATGTGATTAACACACAGCAACCTTGTAGTTACCTCAAAACTATTACCAATATTTATATTTTGGGCTTAAGATATGGCAGGGCTTCATCAGAAACCTAGAGCATAATTCCAGAAGGTCACAAAGTACTGTCATGAGGCAAAGTTCAGCACATGGGTAAGGTGACAGCTAGAAACTTGGGCGAACCATAGCTTTCCTTTGTCTGTGGGTTATCACAATGTAGACAAAGACCTTCAATATGATACTCTGCTTGCTTTCCTTCAACTTGGTTCCTTCCAGTTGTTCCCAAGGCCAGAAGCACAACCCTCATCCTCCAGTGCCAACTGAAACCCTATGCCAGAAAGCTACATAAGTTTTATTATGTGAAGAGGAACTGGACTGGCTGGTCAGGACATTTATTTTCATGTAACAGAAAAATATTTGTAACATCAGCTGGCAGGTTCCAGAATAGCTAGGATGCCAAAAGTCCATGGTCCAAGGACTGCAGGTGTATCAACCTGTGGCAAAAATACTGGCAAGTGGCTGGTGAAACATCAGCTATTAAAAGAAGGGATCAAACCTCCAAATCTTCAGGGACTAGTTTCATTGTCATCAGTTCTCAGGCTAACATTCCCCAACCACATTAAAAACTGCTTCCAGAGGTGCTCAACACCAACATGTAGCACAGCATCTGATCATTGCTGAATTATCTCACTGGGGCATGGATCACTGTCAGCTGTGATGTGCAGGTCCTGGAAGAAGCTTAGCCACTACTGCACTAAGCAGTCAACTCTTGATTAACAGTATTTTAATTTTACATATAATAAATAGTGCTTTGCTGCCTAATACAATTTCAGAGTCTATCTTTCATGTCTCTTTGAAAAGGCATTGTAAAATGCCTGTATACTACTTATATTGAAAAAAAAAGGAGTATACATACAAGTCAGGGAGTATGTGAACACTCTTTTAAAGCAAAAAGATTATGCAAAATTTTATTAAGAGCTTATTGGAAAGTAATTTTATCCTTTAAATCTTTATCTCAGTTGTTTATTCTTGCTTCCAGTTACAATTTGATTAATTATTTTATTGCAACTGAAGTGAAGATTTTTATGGAATTGACTAGCTATTTTCAAATGTTCCCTCAAGACAACCTATGCAATGCCTATGAACAAAACTCAGACAACTAGGCCTTTGCTGTGCTTATTAGTACATCTGGAGAGAAACTATATTATTTACATATTTTATAATGAAGGGAAAGTTATAAATTCAGTTTTCTTTCAAAATTTTAGATCTGCACAGAGCTAATCTTATTAACTGTGCAATTTTACCATCACCACTGCATTTAACCCTCTACACTGGTGTATCACCTACTGCTGCTGACAGTTGCTCAGGCCATTAAGTCAGCTTCAAGTTCTTAATGCATGTGCTTGTGTTTCTGTTATGTTGCGAAGCTTTATAGGGCTCCCCTCTTAAATGGTCCTAGGCACATTACTATAAAACAGGTCATATTATCTGGAATGCTACCCAAGAAGCAATTTGAAATTAATAAGTAGTCTCTTTAATTCTTAACTAGCAGCTTCTTAAAGAGCAAACTTGAAAGAATATAATATCAGAAAGCAATATAAACTGCCTACAATGTACCAACACCAGACAGAATACCACACAGCACACAGTTCTCAGCCCCGGCTGTCAGCCCTAGTAAATGCTGTGAAAGCTTGGTATGTTATCTCACTATAATATATAATATGATCAAGGTTCCAGTTTAGCAAAAGCTGGTTCTTCAGTTTTTTCCCTGTTCAACAAAACTCTTAAACACTTCCTTAGTTTCCAAACGAATAGTGTTTTAACTGTATTTCAATAGCCCTTACGCATATCTTCTGATTCTCTGGTGAATCAGGGCCTTGTTTCAGAGCATCCCACCAGAACAGCTACCATATTAATCATAAAATAACAAGTATCAACACTCTGTAAAGAAGGAAATTATTTCCATTTGAAGTCACGCAATTAAATGTCAGTAAAACTCCAGAAGTTGCTTCACATGAATTCTTGTTTATAAAACTACTTTTAAACACACTTGAGTCACCAACAAGCAGCAGTAATAAGCAAATTTTAGAGTTTTAGAAACACTGAGTATATTTTCTTTAAATCTCCCTTAAGCGATAGGTATGTTTAGCTCAACAGGGTAGTTTTTATTTTTAGAGTGTTTGGGACAAGTGACTTCTGAACACCAGGTATATGGCATTATCATATCCTACATGTGAAGAGGCACTGATCAGAACTGTCCACAGTACATTGGTAAAGAAACTTCACAACAGTTTCAGCTTTTTGTGAGATCATGTAATACATGCAGTGGAGTGGTACCTGTTGGGTTAACACATCTGTTTCAACACAGTGGCACATTTGTGGAACAGGTAACTTACACAGAGCATGAATAAATGTGTCACACTGGAACACAGGTAAATTAAACCACACACATAAATCCATATACATGTAGGTATCTCACCAAGGACAAGACTGGCTGATGAGGTTTGATGTTGACTGGATTCCTGCTTGTAAAAATCTTCACAATCCTGAAATTCAATGTGGCTTCTATTAATTCTACACTTCAGGGTAAGGGCAAAATACGGATTTTTCTATTCAGACCTGAATGTTGTTTAGGTCTTTCTTATATCCACTGTGACCAAAAATATGCTACATAACTGCATTCAAAGTGGGCGAGGACCTTTAACATTTAGTCTAGAATACTAAATGAACTAATATAAATACAAAAACCCAAACCATTTATTTTTGAGGACTCTTGAATGCATTGGCAAACATAGAAGTAGGAAAGAGAAAGTTTCATTCTTACCAAGGAGGAGGAATAAGATGGATAGAAAGAGCACTGGAACTATCAGTTCGTTCCACTTGTGCACTGATGACACCAAGAATTCAGCAGTTTAGTGCTGAGAATTGTCAGGTGGTAGATGACAGGGACATGGGGGTAGATAAATAGTAGGCAAAAAGAAACTATCCAAAATTAATTGACAAATTGACTTAAAACTCAATTATTTGTTTTCCCTGGTAAAATATAATCAGAAATAGAAAGAAAATAGTAAATATAGAACTACATAAACGTAAATGTTCTAAACTGATAAATTACTTCAAAGTTTTAACTAAACAGTATTTCTAGAAATTAAGAACTACATAAACATAATTTTCAGAGGTCATTAAAGTAAAAAAGAAGACAAAAACAAGGCAAGACTGTATTTTATTTGGTTCTTGGTCACAAAAGTCAACAGTATACATGACCAAATGCACGGGTGCTAAACACATATTTGCTAACAGCACTGAAATCAAACAAGAACCCATAAATACAAAATATTTTGTGTAAACTGGCTCTGCTATGGAAACCAGAGAAATAGAAATATTACATTATTCCAAGTAACAATCTCTTGGCAAGAAAAAGAAGTTGCTTTTTAAAAGTTTTATTATTATTATTATTACTACTACTATAACTAAGTACAAGCAACAGTTGGTGAGTTTATCTCTGCATTTATAAGTCTGTCTTTGCCAGCCTACACCTACAGACAGGGAAGTGCAAATAATATATTTCTGAGCGGATTACTAAACAAAACTCAATTTAAAAAGTATTTGAAATTTTTCAAGTTCTTCCTTAGATCCTTCCTGCACTCTTCTCTAATTGCAACAGGTACATAATTGGCACACAGGATGCAAGGAATCAGCAATAAGCAGAGTGCAGGGGATCAACAGAATGATCTATCTTTACAAAGGGCAGCACAGTTTGCAGAGGTAGTTAAGAATCACAGACATAAGCTTGGGTGTTTAAAGAAAGAAAAAATTCAGCTTGCATTAACTTATTAACTTACCTTAGGTTTCCATGTATTCTAGCATGATACCTAATTTAATAATTGCTTAACGTATACACTGGCATGATTCTAAGAAGTCTGGATTCAGGCATCATTAATTTAATGCAGTGGGTTACAGTGTATGCTAGTGTTTCAACAAGTATAGATTGAACTATTCTACATTAAATACTTTAGGTTCAGTATTTTCTAAGTCAAGGTGGTGGTGTGGAGGAGGTTTCACTTACCAAAAGCAGTCACTTAAACTATCTCCTCTTCTTTGCCTTAAAATCTCTGCTTAAAAAAGTCTGATGAATGCTCTGAACAGGAACTTGGTGCTTGGAAAGAAATATTCAAATAGTATAACCTACTGCACATCTTCCATCCCACAAACAGCAGTCAAACTTCAGAGTCAGACACCATATGAAAATAGCAGATAATATAATCTGAATATCATTTACTCACCACTGATCCAAGTCCTCAGGGCTTGGTCAACCACTTCAGACGCCTGGCAATACCTAGAAAAATAATTGATGCAAAATGTAAGAAAGACACAGAGCCAAAAATATTAAAACAGTATTTATTATTAGTGTTAGTGGCTGGAATGGTACAATTCCACTTGTAAGAGATTATATGCATGAAAGTAACATTTCACTACCAAGACACTTCTGCTTTGCTAGAAATGCAGCATTGTAGACATGACTCCAACCACTAAGGAGCTAAGAAAAATAAGCACATGTGAAGGAGCAATACATAAAGAGCTAAGAAAGTTCCTGAACCACTGGAATAAAAATCTACACTGCACAGCATGCTCACTCCACAAGCTTATGAAACACACCTCCAAATCCCTTCTGCCAACCCCACCCACGTATTTCATGGAATTCAACAAGGACAAATATGAAGTCCTGTACCCTTGGACAGGCTGGGCACTGACTACACAGGGCATAGCTGTCTGAAATGGAGCTGGGGGTCTGGGCAGACAGTGGATTAAACATGAACAAGTTATTCCTGTAAACAAGGAAAGCCAAGAATATCCCGGGATATATCTACAGGCTAAGCTCCTGGTAATAAGTGATTATTTGCCTTGTAATAAGTGATTATTTGCCTTTAGCCAGCACTGCAGGAATACACATCTGGAATTCCACATCCAGTTTTGCATTCCCAGTACCAAAACGTAATAAAATAAGGTGATAAAGATAGTTGAGCATTACTGAATCAGCCTTACAGGTTTTCCCACAATAATAATCAATTCTGCACTTTTATACATATATCAGGACAGGATCCATGAAGAACCTCCCCTTATATAAAAGAACAACGTGAGTCAGTAGGTCAGTAGACTCTTAGCAAAGAGAGATGATTTGGCCTTGCTGAAGATGGTTTAACAACAGAAAAATTGGTGTACAGCTCTTTAAAGCATGCTACCAAGGACAGAGGAAGATGTACTGTGAGCACTGGAAAGTCAAACGTGGTTTAAAATGGCCTCTGAATTCCTGGCACATGGAATATTCCTCAAAAAAACCCCAAAGTAGCAGTGATTACTCCAACTTTTCTGCCTCAAAAGCAGTTAACACAGCAATGAAAATATAGCAGTGTCAGCAGAGACAGAGACTACTTTTCATGAAGAAAAAAGACCAAAACTGTTTTCTTTTATAGTCAAGCACCCCAAAATGCACAATCAATTTTAAGTATGTGAAAAAGATGGATTGCTTGGACAATTAGAATTACATGGTGCTTTTAAGGAAAATTTCCTTGCATGGAGCCTGAGTTTCTTAAAAAAGAGAAATGGTACAGGAAGGGTAAGACAGGATCAGCCCATCAAGGACACTGTAGAAGAGCTTCCTCTTACAGATCCATCCACCTGCCAAAGGGACAGCATTGATCATCTTCAGTCACACACAAGAAATAAAAAAAAAAAGAAACCAAAACCAACAACACTACAAAAACAAACCAAAGGAGGAAAGCAAGTATTATATTAAAAAGAAAGGCTCTTTTTTTGCCACCATATTTGTGACAAAGCTAATAAGAAACTCCACATGCCTTCCACTGCCCCACCACTACCCAGGCAGTGTGCACTTTCCTTACGGCGTAGATGGCCAAAATGAAAGCCAATTCCTCCCAAACAAATCGTAATGAGAAAAATACATGTATACTCTCACTCTTTCTCTCAGGAGCTCTTTCTTACAAATTTTGCAATAGCTCAGATGAATTTTTACAACAGTTAGGAAAAATACATAAACCCCACTTCTTCCATTCTACTCAACTAGCTGTAAATTTGGCTGCATCAGAACCATACCCCACCCCCACCCCCGCTATCGCCACACCCCTCAAAGAAAAAAAAAAAAAGAAGAAGAAAAAAACATTACATTCTTCATTTTACCTCCTTTCTCATTTAAAAGGGAGAAACGTTCGAGTATAATTCAGGGACAAAGAGTCTCTATACCAAGCAGAGCCACTGATTTAAAATTTTTTATTTGCAGCCTACAGGAGAAGCAAATAGGCTGGACACTGTTAGGAGAACACGGTTTGGTAACATCACCATGTCACAGACCCTGACTGTACACAACAGGAATTGAGTATACTTAAGCTCCTCAACAAAAATAAAATAAAAAAATACAGGTATACCTGGTATATCTTAAAACATCTTTTCCAAGTAGTTTTTTCTTCAGATGTACTACTGTGCAATACTTCTTTGTATTATATAACAGCAAGTATCCAAATCAAAGAAATAATTAATTACTTCAGGAAGGTTTGCATGACAAATTATGTCACTATGAATAGAAACTATGAATAGAAACAACGCGTTCTTTGTCTTTTGCTGTCAATGCAGAACAGTATAAAACAAAAAATATCCATACTATTTCGTAGGTGTCATTAAGGCTATTTCATAAATAAGAGTGAAACAACAACAAGGGGAAAGTATTTTATTTTAGGGCTAACAGGTTAAAATAAAACAACTTCTGAATGAATTACAGTGCTGAACACCATGGGAAACTAAAAGCTCAGATATACAATAGATTTTTTAACATTTCTTCTCAGGCTAATTATTCTCTGTTTCACACGACCCTAAAAAAGAAAAAACTTACAGCTTTGCTCTTTGTATTATTTACCCAATTTTTCAACCTATAAAATCATGCATGCTACATGCCTGTATGTATCTAATTTAAAGCAAACTCAAAAGAACATACCATATAAAGCAACATAATTTGCAAGCTATTTCAATGAGAACAAAAAGATTCTCGCTTTTTTAGACTACAAAAAAAATATTTCACCCAATTGCACCTGCCCTGAAGTTTACACCTAATAAAAAGCCAGATGTACTTCTAATACACTGCTGATCCCTGCTTTTAATGCCTGTTTTCCCACTGCACCACCTTAACCAAGAGAGCGGTACAGCATAGTTTTACACATCATTAAAATGTTTAAACCAAATATTATGTTTTTATAATCCTAGCAATTCCCACAAAACTAAACAGAATAAATACAGAAGCACTAAGAGACCTGCACTGTAAATGAAAGATCCCTCTTAGCCTGTTACCTAATACAATAAGCACCTGAGTGATAAGTGAGTCAAATTACCACATTTCTTAAACAAGTCAGTCATTACTAACTGAAGCAAGAAATATGCAAATTTATTTTTAGTAAAGTTATACTCTAAAATGAGTTTTGTCTTCTAGGATTTATTTTACCTAACTATAAAACATTATTTGAAGTTAACAATATAGAACATCAGCCACGAGGCTCATCCCATTCACTGAAATCAATGGGAGCTCTTATCTTTAGTGTTGCCCATGAGGATAAAAGGACAAAACTTGTTTACTTTAAAGGCAGCGTAAAAGCACTGAATTTCACTTTACAACATGCTTCTTGAGTCACATCTCTGTGTCACAGGGACAGTAAACAAAACCACAAGTCACCCTTCCATGGCAGCACCAGGAGTTTACATCACAGGCAGAGTTTTGGTCATTCTCATTACAGCCCATCACTTCTGCCAGTCCAAGGCAGCAAAACCCAGGAGCTTTGCAGCAGTATCTCTGCGAAGAACATCAACAGTCACTTAAAATGTTCCCTGGCTCCATTTTGGACATAAAGCTGCTCTAGGTGGCTGCAGCTTGGCCACCACTGAGAGGAACCTGACAAAATGTGTCTCAGAAAGAAGCTTCAGCCTGGGGCCAGCGCTGCTCAGCTACCTGCTGCATGCAGATGGTGAAACGGGTCCCACGGTCAGCCCAGCAGTCATCAGGCAAAGGCAGGCTCCACTGTCAACCCCACAGCAGCTGGGACTGGAACAGGCACACTGACAACACAGCTCCAACAAGGATTGGTGGCCCAGATCCAGGGCAGGACCAAAGGGAGGCTGAGGCCTATTAGTGCCCCGGGGGCCCTGATGCTGGGTTGCTAATTAAATGCTCTAACCAGTAGCATGCTCCTCAGCCGTGAGCTAGAATCACTTGGCAAGCTCAGGCTGCTCTTCCTCCATGTCAGCTGGCTTAATAAATAACTTCTGATGAGTATTATTAGAATCTGAATTATTGCCCCCAGATTACCACACACTGTGACCTGCAAAATACTAAATTTACAAATAAAGCTGTCTTCTGGCAGAAGTGGAACAGAATGACTCCAGGGGAGACAGCTCAGTTATCTCTTCCTGAAGGCCTGGAGATGGCAACTGTGAAGTTTTGTTAAGGCGTAGGCAATTAATGCACTCTTACTTAATCGGTAGACAGCCTGAGCCTGTTGCAGAAGGCTGCAGAGCTATGCCATTGTGAAAATCTGGAAGAAAGAAGACACGTTATCACACACACTCACAGAGTCTTTCAACCAGAAGTTGTGGGGTTGCTTTGTTTTCAATCCACACCTCATTCTCAGGCCAAAGTTATAGTCAGAGTATCTCCCTAGTGACACAAACTGTGACTATCACAAATCAAGGAAACAATCATTAAAATGTCCAAATTGCCTTATAAAATCCCTAGGTTTTCCAGTTCTCCCGCACCATGATTATATTAAGAACCTGTTTGTTTGTGGTTTCAACTGAAATAAAAAAATGCCTTAAGGACAATCTTCCCCCCCCACCAATGAAAAGCAAACTTGTTTTAACATTCAACTTCCTTTACATTTAAGACAAAGTATCTAGCAAAGCAACCAAACACAGATTAAGACACAAACAAGTTGTCAAGAGTCCTCAAAACACAATTTCAAACTCCTCTGTAATGTCAGGAAAACAGCACTGTTTATTTTAAGCATATATTCCATATTGGACTAATTTCCATGCTTTCCTCACAGCTTTAATCTTCATAGATTCAATAGAAAAATACATATAAAAACCAGTTTATAAAAGTAAACAACTCACAGGTACTACATGTGACCTTCCACTAGTGAAAAGGTGCTTTTTAATCATGAAACATTTCAGTGATTCATGTAATGATTATGCTAAGTGACAAAATCTAGATCTTAGGCCATTCAATTTGATCTCAAAGCAAAGTTCCTTCTACTGAAAATGGACTGAGTGCTATTCAACCAG